CATTTTCTAATTTTTGTTTTTATGGGAAACACTTTCCCATTAGACAAAGAATTTTTATAGACATTCCTTTGAGGAAGATGTACAAAAGGCCAATAAACCCATGAGAAGACACTCAGCATCATTATCCATAAGGGAAATGCACGTCAAAACCAAAATGAGATACTACGTGAAACCCCTTAGAAGGGCTATAATCAAAAAGACAGATAATAACAAAGGTTGGCAAGATGTGGAGAAGTTGGAATCTTCATGCATTGCTAGTGGGAATGTAAAATGGTGTACCACTTTGGAAATCTGTCTGCAAGTTCCTCAAAAGATTAAACATAGAGTTACCATATAAACCAGCAGTTTTACTCCTAGATATACAACAAAAAGGAATGAAAATATAGGTCTCCATAAAATGGTACATGAATGGTCATAGTGATATTATTCATGGTAGTCAAAAATAGAAACAATCCCGGGACGCCTGACTGGCTCGGGATGAAGAGCATGCAACTCCTAATCCTGGGATCATGAGTTGGAGCCCCATGTTGAGTGTAGAGATTACTTGAATGAATGAATGAATGAATGAATGAATAAACAAACAAACAAACTTTAAAAAAATAATTAGAAACAGCCCAAATGTCTATCAGCTAATGCACGGTTGAATAAAATATGGTATATCCATACAATGGATATTATTTAGCAACAAAAAGGAGTAAAGAACTACAACAGGGAAAAACCTTGAAAAACATTACACACTTAAAAGAAGCCAGTCACAAAAGACCGATTCCATTTATATGAAAGGTCCAGAAAAGCAAATCTATAGAGGCAGAAAATAGAGTAGTGATTGTCTAATTGCTGAGGTTTGATGGGAGAAGTTAGGAGGAAATGGGGCTGATGGCTAATGGGTACAAGGATTCTTTTTTGGGGTGATAAAATAGTCTAAAATTGGCTGTGGTTTTGTTTGCACAACTCTGAATATACTAAAAAAATACTGAGCTCTATACTTTAAGTGGGTGAATTGTATGATATGTGATGTAAAGCTCAATAAAACTGTTTTATATATATGTGTGTGTGTGTGTATGTATATATATGCAGAAAGAGAGAGAGAGAGAGAACAATATTAAGCCAAGGGATCTATGGACATCTAAACCCAGGTTTAGCCCAGGTACCACCCTTATCCCTTAGGGTATTGAATCAATTTTAATATAGCATTTCATTAATCAGGTTGTGCCTAAAATGCTAATGCAGAGCTCTCTAGTAAACCAGCCTAGATCTCAGAGCCAAGATAGAAGATTTAAGGTGCATTTTTTCCTTGCCCTAAGCCCAAATTTGAATCTTGAAATTTTATCTCCCTATGCTGGGTGTGATGATAAGAGAGCAATCAAAGCATCTGGGAGAATCCAAAAGAAGCAGATGGCTGAACTTTAGTGCATGAAAGGGAAATGCCCTCCTAACACTGAAGCCCCCTAAAAGAAGGAAACAGAAGAAAAGAGAGGGAAGGGAAGAGGGTGGGGAGAGGAGGAGAAAGGCAGGGAGGGGAGGGGGATAGGGAGGGAGAGGTCTAGTGACTCTACTCACTGTAAATGTGGCCCTATGCCTACAATCAGAGAGTACTGTCACCTTTTGCAGAATAGGAAGGAGAGGATGAGAAAAGGTGGATGGATGGTCCTCTTCGAGATGGTCTTTAGTGGGAAGATTTCTAACAGAGATATAGAGAGATGCCGGTAGTGGAGAAGACAGGCCGGTAGTGGAGAAGACAGGGTCAAAGCAAACCTGAGCAGAATGCCTCGGTGAATAACAATGCCTTACCAATCCTTGCAAACCAAAGACCCATTAGAGGAAGCTGCTCATGTCAAGATTTCCGATTAAAATTTTAACCCGGAAGGAAATTGCAGAATTATTAAAGCAATTTGTGTTTTATAGCAAGGTTACAATTGTTGGTATAAATGAAGTGTTTTGCAGATGTTATCAGATATTCCGTGCAGAGGAAGCCATCCATTTACATTCCTAGAGCCTTACTCTATTAGTGCTTTGCATGTTTTTTTTTTTTTCCAAAGCCTTCTTCCCTTCTCTTCTCAGTGCATTTCTAGTTAAGGAACACTAAATTTCTATTCACAAAGAAGAATAAGGATGGCGATGAACTTCATAATGATCTAGAAGAGACACAACCTAGTGACATGTTTTCTGGTGCATCGATTTATAAAAGGGAAATGATCTACAGGGTGCCTTTGATGAAAACAGTCCTTTCCCTTTCTGTAGCTCCCAGAAATGCACCAGTCTGCCTTTCAGTGCGATTAAGCAGCCCAAACACCCCAGGGAGGATATGGGGAGTAGCTGGGGAGCAGTTACGGCTGAGAGCAATGATTCTCTATGCAGACTTCTTACACTCTGGTTGGGGTTGAAACTTTCTCTTCACCACTTCAAACTTTCTTTTTGGCCGCTTTCTTATATGTGGCTTCTCTGTTAAACTTACATGATTATGACCACCAACACTCATCCTGACCCACCCATCTTCTTACCTCTAGAAAGTGTGGGCTTCCAGAGAGCATCACCTCTGGGTAGCTCACATTTCTAATTCAGAACTGCAATCAGAGTTCGTTTTGTTGTATAGAGAAGTGATTTGTTCATGATTCCCTTCTCTTTTGCAAAATTCTAGTACATACAGAAAAGGAATCAGAATAGTATAATGAACATCCATTATCTATAACCTAGATCAAACAGTTGTTAAAATTGTGTCATATATTCTTCATTTTCCTTTTGTTTTTTTTTTCCTGAAGTAATTTAAAGCAAGCTGTAGAAATATATATATTTCACCCCTAAATACTTCAACATTCATCTTTAAATAATAAATACAACTTTGTTAGGTAAATTCAGTTCTATTACCACACTAAGATTCAGATAATTTTTCAATAGCAATGAATACTCATCCATATCCAAATATTCCCTGCTTGTCCCCAAAATGTCTTTTTTAAAAATTGTGTGGGAAAACATACATAATATAAAATTTACCATTTTTAAGTGCACAATTCAGTGGCATTAAGTACATTCACAATGTTGCGCAACCACCACAACTATTTCCAGAACTTTTTCATTATCATAAACAAACTTTATGCCCTTTAAGAACAACTCCCTATTTCTCCCTCCCTGAAATGTCTTTTAAAGATGATTAATTCAAACAGGATCCACATATTTCATCTGGTTATTATGTTTCTTACAGTTCTGAATTCTAGAGCTGGCTCCTTGCAATACACCCACATACATTTTATTTTCAAGACATTGAATTCTTAACGACTCTGGACTAATTATTCTACAGACTGTCCCACCTTCTGGATTTGTCTGATTGTTTTCTCATGGTGTTGTTAAACTTGTTCTTCTGTTCTCTGTTTTTTTGTTTTGTTTTTTTTTTTTTGTAAGCTCAAAGTTGAATCTAAAGGCTTGGTAAGAATCAGGTTAAACATTTTGGTAAGAATTCGTCATAGGTAATGCTGTGTACTTCCTTCTACATCACTATTAGGTTGTACGTAATGTCTGGTTGTCCCACTATTGTTAAGCCTGATATTGATCACTAAGGTAAAGTGATGACACCTTACTAAAAAGTGGGTTTTTAAAAATGGGGACTTGACCACTTACACTGTTTTAAAATGATTATCCCTACTTTGAAGGTTCAGATAAAGGGGTTCTGAGTTGTTGCCTGGCACCTTGGAGACAGCCTTTATCCTGTATAAAGGATAAGAGGATTAAGACTGAGGCTTTATCCTCTTTATGGAGTAGACACAGGAGTTCAAGTTTATCTCTGAGGGTGGTCAGAGCAGAAATTTCTGGAATATGAAGTCTAACAGAGACTGTGTTTTCTCTGGGTCCAGAAGAAGTTACTCTGAAATTGTTCATTAGCCAGAATTTAACCATTGACAAATAGATCTTTTTGCTAACACTTACTAAAGAGAATCTAAACATTGGGAATTCAGATACAGAGGAATCTTTTTTTTTCCTCCCAGAAGAATCTTTTATGGCACTTTAAAATAACTCCTCCTCCACCTGCCACTCCTCCCCAACCCCCAAAAACCACTTTAGACTCTAGAATAAAAACTTAAGGAAGAGCATTTTTCTTTGGATGCAAAACAGACGGATCTTTAGATGTTTCTTGAGTACCGTTCAAAGTAAGGGAAAAGTATGCATCTGTTCTCTTTGTATGATGTTTACCTCTTGTCTTTTAGCTACTATAAACTAAATAACTGATCCACTGAGAATATAAACAACTATATTAAAGGATTTCATGATTGAAACTAAGAATTTGGGTTTCTAAGGAAAACGAGTTATTTTTAATTTTAAAATCAACACTTTTACTTTATGGCAATTAAATACTCAAGTCAGTTACACTCTGCTCCAGGGTTGCTGTGCATTTCTGGGTACCCATAGGGGTAACTTGGTTATTATTGCTCATTTGTCTTTTGTGTTTGTTGTTATTTTGTTTTTCGGCCAGCACAAAGATTAAACTTTGTGAATTTTCTGCATCGCAGGACAGAACTTAACCTTAGGGTACTGGACTAACAATTTTCCTTTTACAACTGAAATTAACAATATCCTTTTTCTCCATTTATTCTGTAATTTTTTAAGTTTCTGGCTTCAGATTTACCAGTTGGGTAAGGGAGGTGGTGAAGGTCTCTTTGAGGAAAGAGTTCTTCAACAGTAGCTCTCCCAGCAAAACTAGCAACACGTGCTGATAGCCTCCATTGGGGGTTACTACACTTGGTGACGAAGATCACACCAGCAGTTTACAAGATCAAACAGTGTAAAGGATCACCCATCCTTTTCAACTTTTCTCTTTTTTTTTCCTCTTTATATATACCCACCTCTTTTCTTGGTTTCCTTCCTTCTTCTTCTGCCTCTCTCCTTGTCCCTCTCCCTCCTTGCTCATTCTTTTTCCTTCCCTTCTTTTACCACTCATTATCCTAGGCTGGTAGCCTTCAATGACTCCCCCTATACCCACCAAATTTAGTGGGATCTGAAGGATTTCCTACCTCACATCAGACTGTGGTACATCACTGAATACTTGATAGAATCGAAGGAGTGGGAGAATCCTAGAGAAAGAGAATTCCAGAGAAGGAGGTCTGTGCCTGGATCTGTGTTCTGAACTCCTTCTGTCCAATTTCCATTTGTTTGAACTGCCAGTTCCAGTTTCCCGTCTGGGTTCTGTAGGATCTCACAGTTCTACAAGGATAGTAATGGAATTACTTGAACTATGTCCAGTACTTCAGAAAAGCCTGAAAGACATTGTATGTTTACTCAGTAAAGCTTGAATAGGTTAACTAAATAATGGAAAGCTTCTTTCCTTTTGGGGTTGGGGGGAGCTGGGGAAGTTATGCCATACTAACTCACGGTGAAGAATGTATCTTCATACTAAGAAGTTCTGGTTGCTTGCATGTGTTGTCTATAGGGTAGACAGACTGTACTGGAAAGAATGTGGGTGTAGAGGTGAGGCCAGAATTTAATTTCTCGCAATAAGACTTAGGCTATGTCCTTAAGATCTCTGAACCTCAGTTTACTTATTTGTAAAATGGGAGTAATAATTTATATTTTTCAGACTCCTTGAGGATTTTAGATAATGGGTGTAAAGCACTCATTTATACAATACCTGGTACTAGTAAATACTTAATATGATTTCTTTATAAGTGTGATTTATTCAGTAGATAAAAATCTTTCAAAGCATGTGGCTCTTAGGGGAAAAAATGAATCTGATCATTGAGAACAGAGATTGGGAAGCACTCACATAACATAGCTCTACGTGGTCATATAAACCATCCCTTAAGAACTCATGCCAAGGGGCGCCTGGGTGGCTCAGTGGTTAAGTGACTGCCTTCGGCTCAGGTCATGATCCCAGGGTCCTGGGATCAAGCCCCGCATCAGGCTCCCTGCTCGGCAGGAAGCCTGCTTCTTCTCCCTCTGACCCTCCTCCTGCTTGTGTTCCCTCTCTCGCTGTCTCTCTCTCTCTGTCAATTAAATTAAAAAAAAAAAAAAAACAAACCTCATGCCAAGTCTTTTTTTTTTAAGAGAGGGAGTGGGGAGAGGACAGAGGGGCAAGGAGAGAGAGAGAATCTTTTTAAAAAATTTTTATTGTTATGTTAATCACCATACATTACATCATTAGTTTTTGATGTAGTGCTCCATGATTCATTGTTTGTGTATAACACCCAGTGCTCCATGCAGAACGTGCCCTCTTTAATACCCATCACTAGGCTAATCCATCCTCCCACCCAAGTAACAAAGTTACTTACCAACTTATTTTTCTTCTCCTTAATCACTATGTTCAGCAACACACAAAAGCAGAAGCAAGACAGGTCTAAATGTGGTATTATCTGACTACACCCTAAGCACTTTAAATTGAATAGTCTGTGTTTGGGGTTCATATGAACTGGTTTGGAGATGGTTATTTAGTGTTCTCCCAAGAGTATGAAAGTTTCCAGAGGAGACTGGTTAGATAAGCAGAGGCTACCATGCCTGGCTTCAGCTCTGTAGGGATTTCTAAGGCTTTAAAATTACCTCCGGAATCCCCTTAAATGCAGTATTCTCTGATGTTGAGCATGGCCTCTGATACCTTCTTTTATCTCATTCCTCCGACACTCCAGAAATTTACCCTAGTCTCTCTCACTACTTGCAACCAGGAGAAAAGTTGGGAAATAGGGTTGTATTAATCAATATAGACTATTACAAATGACTTCAAAATCTCAGTGGCTTGACCCAATTAAAATATATGGTTCTTGGGCGCCTGGGTGGCTCAGTTGGTTAAGCGGCTGCCTTTGGCTCAGGTCATGATCCTGGAGTCCTGGGATCGAGTCCCGTATCGGGCTCCCTGCTTGGCAGGGAGTCTGCTTCTCCCTCTGACCCTCCTCCCTCTCGTGCTCTCTGTCTCTCATTCTCTCTGTCTCAAATAAATAGATAAAATCTTTAAAAAAATAAAATAAGGGGCGCCTGGGTGGCTCAGTCAGTTGAGTGACTGCCTTCGGCTCAGGTCATGATCCCAGGGTCCTGGGATTGAGTCCCGCATCGGGCTCCCTGCTCTGCGGGGAGCCTGCTTCTCCCTCTCCCTCTCCCCCTGCTTGTGTTCCCTCTCTCGCTGTGTCTCTCTCTGTCAAATAAATAATAAAATAAAATCTTTAAAAATAAATAAATAAAATAAAATATATGGTTCTTATCACAGTTCAATATGAAATGGTAGGGGTAGAAATGTGTTTAATGTGGTGGTCAGTCTCTTATGCAGTAATTCAGGGATATAGGCTTCTTCTAGCTTATGGCTGTTTCTTCCTTAGGTTCTCAGAATTCTTTCCATTCAGCCAGTGGGTGGGAGAAGAACCTGCCGTCACTGCACAGGAGGCTTTTTATGGCCCAGACCTGGAAATGGCACCCATTATTTCCATTGCTTTCTGTTGGCCAAAAATTAGTCACAGTGTTCTGCCCAACTTCAAGAGAGGCTAAGAAGTCCAGCTGTGTGCCCAGCTCATAACAGTTTCTGCCACAAGGGGAGAAAGATAGCTCCTCGATACAGGCTGATTGTTCTGTTCTTGTGTTTCCTCAAAGATATGCAAAATAAATGTACCGCCCTATTTTCAGGTCACTTAATGCCTAGACCTACCATTAACGTCTTGGTCAGTTTCTGGAAAAAGTCCATCCATCAACATCAGCATCAACCTCACTACCACCACAAATCAGTCCATACTGTGAACTTACTTGTTTGTATTTAGGACTTTCCAAAGTTTCGAGATACCTGGACCAAACCTGTGCAGAGGCTCTGATTTGGAAGTTGCCCATGCACCTGTATTTTGTTCTTCCTGTCAGATGGTTCCCATGACAAAGTCTGGCAAGTAATGCACCAGAAACCATATGTAATATCTAAAGCAAACTTTGTCACATGGCACCTATGAGAAGAAAATAAATGTGTTATAAACATTTAAAGAACTATCTCACACACCTTCAAAAACTATGAAAAACATGTTTTTGCCTTTTCTCAATCAATGTATTTTTCAGCTGTCAGAACTCTGTAACTGCAGCTTGCTTCCTAGTTCTCTCATTAACCAATTTACAAAGGCTATTTCATAGTGCAACCATTTTGGAAACATCCATCTGTCCTCATTTACTCACAGGCTATTATTCCCATTGAGATTTTAGCTTCCTCCCATGATGTTTGTTCATCTTCTTATGTAAAGAGGATGATGACATGGACTGGACAAGCTAATGAAGGTAAGGTCCTGATATGCGCCCTGCTCTGTTTTTCTAATTGTGGTGTTAAGTCTTCACCGCCCATCTACAGTTTCTTCTTACAATCCAAGCCATGCATTTATTATATGGCTCATGGGATTAAGGTTTCAGTCATCATTCATGTATTTATTCATTTCTTTATCTATTCATTCATTCTGAAATATTCATTGAGTACCTACTTTGTTCCAGATAGTGTGCTAGATGCTGGAGTCAGAGCAAAGAACAAACATATAAGGTCTCTTCCCTCATGGAACTTATGTGAAAAACAGAGTGTATGTATGCATGTATGTATGTATTTATTTTAAGTAAGCTCTATACCCAAGGTGGGGCTTGAACTCATGACCCTGAGGTCAGGAGTTGCACACTCCATTGACTGAGCCAGCTAGGTGCCCCGTAGTATGTTTGTTTGTTTGTTTATTGTAAGCTCTGTGAGAAACAGATTCTAAATAAATAATAATGCAAATATTAATTTAATTGTAATATTTGTATGGGAACTTTGTTTCCTTTTTAGTGTTTGGATAAACCTGAGTCACCAATAGTTACTTTGTTTTGCTTTGTTTTGTTTCGTTTTTAACTGAAGTCTTTGTTCCTCTGTAAAAACCAGCGCTTGGGGTGCCTGGCTGGCTCAGTGGGTAGAGCGTGCAATTCTTTTTTTTTTTTTTTTCGGTGCAAAAAGGTGGTTTTATTGAAGCACAGGGACAGGACCTGAGGGCAAAAAGAGCTGCCGAGCATGAGATTCTTAATCTCAGGGTCATGAGTTTGAGCCCCACTTTGGACATGGAACCTACTTAAAATAATTAAAAAAAAAAACAAACACATTTTTCTTAAGGGTAGTCGTTCATTCATTCATCCATTCACTGATAATATTCATTAATTCATTAAACATCATTGTAAAACTGCTATTTACCAGGCACTATGCTAAGATTTCCAAATACAAAAATGAAAAGACAAGATTCCTGCCCTTAAGAGTCACACTCCAGTTGAGTAGATTGGCATGCAAACCACACAGTTATCTATGACAGTTATGTCATAATGGAGAAATATGAAAAGTGTGGTGAGGCATTGGAAAAGGAGGACCTACGTCTGCCTCCCTAAGTCAAAGAAGACATCACAAAGGATGTAGCACTTGGACTGAGGTTTGAAGGGTGAATAAGCCTTTGCTAAGTAGACAAGTCAAGGAAGGGGATGAGATGGCTGGTTGACTATCAAAGACTTGTGTTCTTCTTCACAGTATGAAATTTTTCTGTCAAGTGGCCCAACCAATTGCCAATCCCCTATACATCTAAGTGGGGCTAGGTAGCCAGTTCTCATTAATGGGATGTGAGCAGAAGTGATCTGTTCCATTTCTGGATTAGGGTAAGAAATAAGTGTGCGTTTTCTTCCTTCTCTTTCCCAGCTGTATGAAGTAAAGGACTCTCAAGCTTAGAGGATGGCAGAGATACAAAGTAGAAGGACCCTGGGTGGAAGGCTGCTTGGCACACTGAACTGTTACATGACTAAGAAATAATCTTCTATTGTGTTAATCTACTGTTATTATATAGATTGTTTGTTACAGCAGCAAGCTCTACCTTAATTAATACAAGGCAGTCCAAGCAAAATGAACAGTATGTACAAAGGCTTACCAAGGTGAGTGTCTAGCAGAGTACATGCTCAATAAATATTTGATATTGCAGTAAGAGTATTATGGGGGACTATAAATAGTCCAGTACTGCCACAGTATAAAATACATGAATGATTGGTGGGAGTGAGGGGAGGGTGGATGGATAGGCAAGGACTGATCAAAAAGGGACTTGAATGCCATGCTGAAGAATTTAGGTTTATTCTTATGGAAGAAGGGAAGCCAGTGAAGAATACAGAAAAGGTGAGAAGCATGATCACTGGAATAACAGGATCTTTGAGAAACACAACACCCAAGAACCTGCTTTAATTTTCTTTAGATGTAAGATGCTAATCCAAAGATGAAAAATAGGATTTCAGAACCAGAAGACATCATCATCTAGTCAAACCTCATTTAGCAAATGAGGAAAGTGAGGCCCAGAGAAGTTAAGTACCTTTGCCAAGGTCACCTAGCTAAAACTTGGCAGAGTTGGGGACTAGAAGGCTAGTCTCTTGTTGCTAGCCAGCTTTATAGCATGGCTCTTTCCACTGTACCTCGGTGCTTCAAAGCAGTTGAGACCAGCTGGTGCGCCTGTGTTTTCAGTTCCCTAATGAAGACATAGGGGATTTGGAGGCAGGGTATTTTCCATGGAAGGCTGTCTTCTCTGTAATTCCTCATCTGGCTCGAACCGCTATTTTGGAAAAGGTCCATTTTTCAGCATCAAATTTCCCTGGAGGATGACTGAGAATGTGCTTAGTGGCCTGTGGGGTGCCCTTGCACTTTCTGAGCATTTGTTGGGAAGATGAGAAGAAACTAGTGGTGGAGTTTTAGCTCCTGGAAATGCTGTTTGGTTCTCTGGCATCCGGGGAGTTGTTGGCCCTCTTAGTGACTGTGGTTCAGCCCGCCAGCTGACTATCCTTCAGGGTCAGATCAAAACATCTTTAGCTTGTCTGTTTAAAGGGTCAGCCCCTCTGGCTGGCATTCAAATGTCATTTTCTGCAGTTTACTACCTCTGTTTTCATATACTATTCACAGATTCATTGTTCATTATGATTATTTTTACTCTATCCAAAGCAATGTGACATACATTTGGGT